CTCTTTCTAAAAAAAGGGAGATATGAAATAGAAATGAATACATTGGTATGGATTTTGGTTCATTGACAAATTTAAGGTCAATTTTGTTATATGTATATTTCTACTCTTGTTTAAGGTGTTATGTTTATACAGCTCATTTAAAATGTAATGCATAGTTAAATACAATTTTTTAAAAAGATTTATTTATTATGTATACAGTGTTCTGACTACATGTATGTCTGCAGGCCAGAAGAGGGCACCAGATTTCACTACAGATGGTTGTGAGCCACCATGTGGTTGCTGGGAATTGAACTCAGGACCTTTGGAAGAGCAGGCAGTGCTCTTAATCACTGAACCATCTCTCCAGCCCCAAGAAATACAAATTAATAGTCATGTACGATAATTAAACTTGTAGTCATGTTAGATTTTCTAGATATACAGAGATATATTTCAGATGGATAGATATTCTTCAGACCTTTCAAAGACCTACAGAATATGACATTTAAAATGGTTGTTAACTTAGGGCTTTTCATGAAAATGAGACACATGTACTCCTGTCAGCACCAATTACTTCAAAGAGGATGATGGACGTCAAAGAAACTCGTTACAGAGTTTGCCTACAATGTGACAGGACTAGCCATTTGGGTAAGAAACTGTTTTTGCCTAGACTGCTTGACTGCATGCTGTATAAACTGGACATACAGAACCCACAGGAAAGTGACTGCTGAACTTGCCAAGGGATGGGATTCTCCTTCAGGGTTCCTGATTCACAGAGGAAACTCCCAGACATTCTGCAGGACACAGAAGAAAAAAAACTTATGAACTTTTCCAGTACAAGACAAAACAGATATTCAAATTTCCTGCTTCATTAAAAAGTCTGCCAGATACTATGGGCCTATAGATTGAAGGTAGATCCCCCAACATTACAGAAGAACTTTGGTTGACTGTCCAGGCAGCAAGATGTCTCTGTAAATTCTAGAGTTTTGGAATTGCTTACAATGCACTTCCTGATTACTTAGGTAATAATATATCCTTCTGGGGTCTTTGATGGAGTTTGAAACAGATAGTTATAGTTTTCCCTAGTTATTATAAAAAAATTAGATATAAAACTTTCGACTCACAAAAATAAGTTAGATGATAGAGTATTTGTCAAATACAAATAGACTAAATATTGTAACTATAATTTTTGCTTGATAACTGTTTTATTATATATAATTTTACTATGTTAAAATTAAAACCTTCCTTTTTATTTAGAAAGAAAAGGGGAGATGATGTGACTTATCTTTCTGTATGCTGTGTATTGCTTATAGCATGAAAAATAAAAGACCCAGAGACTGATATTGGGGTTCAAGTTTCAAGATGAAGATCAGAGAAGCGAAGTAACCATGCCAGTAGATCTTACCTCTACCCAATTGAAATGGTAATCCTATTTCCATGAATTCTCAGAGGCAAAAGCTCTGAGTTCCTGTCTCCTCCTCCTTATATTCCTTTCTCTGCCCATCCTCCTGTCTCCACCTCCCTGGTGCTGGGATTAAAGGAGTGTGATTCCAAATGCTGAGATTACTTTTGTGAGAGCTGTTTCTTTTAGAACTGGATCAATTTAGTGTAGTCAGTGTGGCTTTGAACTAACAGAGATACTCTACCTCTTAATCCTGAGTCCTAGGATTAAAGGTGTGTAATTCCTAGCTTCTGGCTGCTGGGATTAAAGGTGTATATCACCACTGTTTGACCTCTATAGTTTGAGGCTGACTTTGCTTTCTGAATCCTCAGGCAAGCTTTAATAAACCATAAATATCATCACACCCATATGGTAGAAAGAGAGAATTGACTTCTATAAGTTGTCTTCTGATATTTGCATGATCTTTGGCATGCTATTTGTGCTCACTCGTATGTTTAGATAAACAAATCCCAACAAAGGAAACTCTAAAAAGGATAGAAGGAACTCTCCATCTGATGAAAAATTCTACTTTGAAACATGGGGTAAAGGACACAGATCAGAGTCCCTAAGTGAAGGCTCCAAAGTTGTCTGGTTATTTGATACATTTAGACAGACTTTTCCTGGTCTTCACTAGCCTCCTAAGCATCCTGGTTTTGTCCCCAGGGTATACTGAAAAAAAGAAAAACAAAACCCACAAAATATCCAAGTTATGTGTTTGTGATATATTCTTGGCATGTCAGCACTCAAAATTCAAAACATTACACGCATAAGACAAAATCATCACCCTGTGATATCAAGAATCATGTTAATATGCAATGTATTGTATTGTATTGTATTGTATTGTATTGTATTGTATTGTAGGAATGGTG